TGCAGGGGAAGGGGGCCTTGCACGGGGTCTGGCAAGGAGGTGGCGTTTGGGCAGAGTGTCAGGAGAAGGAACCAAGGTCCTCTTGAGCGGTGCCCAGTCACCTGAGAGACTGGAACCGTTTATTTAAAAACATTCATCTTCGTGCACCCTGAAGTAGATGAGAATCTATCCGAGAGTGCCCAATTACACCCCACGTCCACCAAGAATCTGTGTTTGCTTGGACCAGTTCAGGGCGGTACTTTACATGCACAGATGTCTCTCAGCTATTGTAGACTTCGAATACTTAGCAGGGGCAATAATTTGAAAATACACACCCAATCCATGCTGGCTGGGACACAGAGTCCAGAATTGATCTTAGGTTACTCTAGGTACCAGCTGACACTTTAATAAATTATTTGGGGGCAGAAAGGACAGGTATTGGCAGATGCTGTGTTCTCCTGATGTCTCTCTCTTTACTTTTTTCTTGCTCAGTGAGACCTCATCGAAGGTATGTGATAGACACTAATTCAATACAACGTCACATCCCCTCAGGAAAGTCAGAGAACTTCCAAAACAAAGCTAGTTTTGCTGGATGGTTAGAAGAGAACAAAGTGATCATACGAAATGGGGTTTAAGTCAAATGACAATGTTAAAGAAACTTTTTGTAATATCATAAACCTTTCACCAGCCAGTGCTCTCACATGGTTCCTTTTGAACAAAGACCACTTATGAATGCTACAATAACATTGTACTTAACACACAAATCTAGATACGACTGTATGGTATGAAAACAGACCCCGAGTTCTGTTTTGTACTCTATTTAAACAATACAAGTGAGAGTCCAGAATTCAAACCTAGCATACGATATTATGCCAACTAAGTATCTCTTTGTATCTACATATAAAAAATTATAAAAAAAAAAAAAGAGTGGTCTCTCAGATGGTGAGATAAAGGCTCACCCAGAGTGGTCTTTCCTTACTCAGAAGCTTTGGGTAGAAAAAATTGAAAGAAGAAAAGGAATCAGAAGAAACCCAACCTGTTGGGTTCAAGATCTACTTTGTATTTGTTATTTTAATGCATATGGGGTTTGCTAAGCCACAAACAAAGCTTCTTAACATGTATCACTGTCCTGGCACATCAGTACCATTTGGGGGTGTTGTCTCTCAATCTCTCATAACCACTGGTTCTGAAATACACTTTGGGGACTGAAGAGGCCTGGGCAGGAGAGGAGATGAAATCAAAGCGAGACTGGGATCAAAGGGGCCAACAGCTCGGGGGTCTCAGGGTGAAAGAAGTAGAGCCATCGGCTCCCCTGGGCTGCCTTTCCTGGCTCTCTCTTCAATAAACACCCAGCACTGCAGAGCCAGGTCTCAGGGCAGCGCAGAAGGACTAACTTAAACAACAAAGAGATCTGGGGAAGAGAGCACTTAGCACTTGGGGAGGAAAGGCAGGTCCCTGAGAGATTTGGGGGAGTCAGGAACCGTGGTGGGAAGTGTGGTGGGGAACATAGAGGACACAGGACAGGAGAGTGTCCCTGATGGCTCCATCCTCCCCAGCCTGGGCTGCTCCAGATAACGCCCTTTTTTTTTTTTTTTTTTTTAAAGTGTACTCCTTTTCTCCTGCATCTTTACTTCTAGTCACTGGCCTTCCCCCATTGTACCGAAAGCATCCTTGAGCCTTGTCTTCTGTTATCCTGCCCTCTCCTCGTGTCTATTTCAACAGATGTTACTGACAGGCCAAATATCCATAGTGGCCGAAGCAAATCAAGGGGAGAGCCAGTGAGCCCCGGTGCTGGTGAGGAGACCCCTGCCCCTTGTCCTCAGTGGCAGAGTCCTCAGCTAGTGCAGGACTTCACTGAGCGATTCTGAAACTGGCTCACTGCCTCCTTTCAATAGAAGAAAGCCTATTCGAAGTGTATTTCAATTTCACTATTTGGCGAAAGTACATTGCAATAATTGCTTTTTAAGATATTGCCCCAAATTGGGCTCCTTCCATTTTCCAACTTGGGATACAGGTAGAGAAGAATTAACACATTATTCATTGTACATTTGTGGCGGGGGAACTGAGTAAGGCATCTAGAAATTGTGTTTAGTGAAAATCACTTATGATTCTATAGGTGTCTGTCAAACCAAAGAGAAGTGGAAAAATAACTTGACTTTTGAGTGAGCGCACACATCAGAGCTTCCATAGTGAGCTGCGGAGGCTCCCGTCTGGCTAACTAACCCGAGTCAATGAAAACCCCAAGGGCGCGGGGAAATCTCCTCCTGGGAGAAGGGCTCTCTCTGTCCAGGTTCATCCCAGTGCACCCTCTGCTTTGCGTTTGTTTGTTTTTAAATTCCGATCTCCCCAATTTTCCCACTAATGTCCTTTTTTGTTTTCTAAGGATCCAGCCCAGAACACCACATGGCATTTAGTCATCAAAACACTAGGTTTTAAAAATAGACTCATAAAACACTAATCCACGCACATGATTGAAAAAATAATAATAATAAAAGCTGCACTGAAGGGAATAAAATAAAGAGCCCCTCCCCAACCCTTCATTCCCAGTTCCAACCCTGGGATTCCACTACAGCTTCACCAAGGCTAGTTTTAGGTCCGTACAAGCTACACAATTAAAACTTCATTTTAAGCAAAAGAAGTAGAGAAGGGGAAAGGCTAAAATTTTATTTCAATATAGATTTTAATACCACACAAGCTCTCAGGAAAAGTCATAAAAACTTAATGCTTGTTTCTTTGGTTTTGGAGCCACAAACAGAATGGTGGGGTTTCTTCCCACTCGCTTAAAAGACAGAGAAAAGACCGTCGCTGTCCCTGGTTAGATTGCTTCCTCGGGCCACCCGCAGTTTCCACGTGTGGCCGGTCGATTCCTTCGTCTCTGCAGGTCCGCTGTCCTGGCCTGCGGCCAAACAGACCCGCCCGCTCGGGGCCTCTCACCAGTGAGCCCAGCAGCTGAGGAGTGCGGCTTGGCCAGAGGCCTTGGGAATTTCCACACAGGCCGGAGAATCCCCATGACTCTCACCCCTTGGCAGGGCTTCTGGGTTGCTGGGCCATCCCTGGCTGTTAAACTGCAGCTGGCAGCCAGCAAACCTCTGGTCTCCTCCAGGGGCGGCTCCCTGGTCCCCAACACTACAGCAACGGAACTCAGGTCTGGTCCCATCACTGCTGCCCGCCAGGGGGAACCTCCGGAGCCCCGTGTGCCTGAAAGACAACACCCCCCACCCCCAGCCCAGGAGTGGAGAGGGACAGGGGGCAGCACCTCCTCCCTGAGGTGGCAGGGAACTCAGCAGGGAGCTGGGTGTCCTGGCTGGAGGCTGGCGAAGCACAGTGGCTTTGGGCCCGTCTAGATGGCGAATGATTTCCTGATCTATAAAGATGGGAGAGAAATACCTAATTTATAGAAACACACTTAAAGCATAGCCTAATACAGGGGCACTTCAGAAGTGGCTTTTGAGTCAATGAAAGAATAAAAGAGTACAGAAAAATAGAGGGTCTGCCTTCCCATCCCGTATACCTTCTGCCTGAAAATCCCCGGTGACTGGGCGAAAGAATAGGGAGGAAGGGCAGAGAGAGGGAGAGAGAAGGAAGAGGGTGGAGGCTTGGGGTAGACGGAGGAACAGCCGTGGGTAGTATCAGTCTGTCTCTTTGAGCCTCAGGGCCTGTGCCAGGGTCTGGGACACAGTCCCTGACTCGCCTGCCCCCCGCCCCCCGGCCCAGGAGAAAATCAAGCACAGAATTCCTCCAGCATCCCCGAGAATCCTTCCTGCTTTGACAGCTGCAACATCCGCTCAGGGCGACAACACCCAAGCCCTTCCCAGGGTTGCCCTGCAGCATTCTGAGTGGAGGGTGACAGAATGGGGACTCTGAGAATTCCTGCTGAAATCAGGGCTCAAGGGCTGGGAGCAAGGAGACCTGGCTGCCTGAGTTCCTCTCCTGAGGGCCTGCACTGGACGGTGTGTTCGTCTTCCTAGCAAGTGAACCAATGCAGTGCTGGCTGATTCCACGGCATTCACGGAGGGCCCAGCATAGGGTCTGATGCACAACAACAGACCTGCAAGGCGGGCACGCTGGAGACTTCCGTGAGAGAAATGGGTCCTGCTCCCCGAGACTTCATAGTCCAGGGGGAACACAGATACATGAGCCACAACCATACTACACATCAGGATGAAAAGGGACCCTGAACAGAGACCTAAAGGGCAGAGGCTCAAGGGAGCGGAAAGGACACGAACCTCTTTCATCTCCTCCCTTCCAGCTGCACAGGTCTCGAGCATCACTGGACGCCTTCAGAAAGGCACAATCATGCGTTTGCTAAATGTGACCATATTTCTGACCCCGCGTGCCTAAGGAATTCTTATTCCGATGCCCCCACAGACAGAAGGGTCGCTCCCCCCTGACCCCCGTCGCCCCCGCCTGACATCTCCCGGGGTGAGTTCACTGCCTCCCTTTGAGGTCCCTTTATCTGCACCCCCTCCTTCTGACTCAGGATGTGCTAGGGAGGCTTGAGGAGGTCAGGGGCTGGGCTGTTTGAGCAACCTGGTCCAGGGTCTAGCACATAGCAGGGGGGGTAAATAAATACCTTTGAAGATGACAGGCGGGACAGCGGCAAGGCTCACCGCCAAGCCCTGCGAGAGATAGGCTGGCCCAAGGCCTCTCGCGCCGCCGAGTGGGTGACCTGACCCCTGGGGGAGGGGTCGTCCTGCCCCACCGGCCTAGGCAGCCGGGCCCCTCCGGGCGCCCTCCCAGAGCCTAGCTTCCCGGGGATGTTGATTGCGCGGAGGCCGGGGGCGGGGCCGGAGGGGGCTCGGGCCCAAGTTCGCGCCTCCCTCCCTGCCTCCCACGGTCAGCGGAAGCGATTATTCCCACCGGTGTCTGGCGGGGCCAGGGGCGGGCTCGCGCCCCGAGGGCCACGGGCCTCCCTGCGTCCACCCCTTTGATCGCCCGCCCTCCTGGCCCCCTCCCTGGGCACTGGGGCCCGTATAACTGTAGTCTGTGCCCCTCTCGGTGGCACACCAGGTGGGGCAGCGATGGCCGCGGCAGGGTCCCGCCAGTGCCAGTTCGGGGGCAGCGCCGCATTCCCGGGGTACCGGCCCGCGCACACCGGAGGGCCGCTCCTGCCGCCCCCGAGCCCCGCCACCGCCCTGCTGCCCGCGAACCCCGCGGGCCCCGGCCCGGGTCGCAGCGCCGCGGCCGCTCTCTCCGGCTTCCTGGGGAGGGGTCCCGGGCCCGCCGCCGCCGCCGCCGCCGCGGCGCGGCCCCGCGCGGGCGTGGACCCGCCTGCGCCCCCCAGAGGCGCGGCCGCGCCGTCGGCGTCTCAGCGCCGCAAGCGCACGTCGTTCAGCCCGGAGCAGCTGCAGCTGTTGGAGCTGGTGTTCCGCCGGACCATGTACCCCGACATCCACCTGCGCGAGCGCCTGGCGGCGCTCACCCTGCTGCCCGAGTCCAGGATTCAGGTGAGCGGCGGGCCTCCTGGGCACCCCGGGTTCCGAGGCCCGGGAGCCCGCGGCCAGGGCTCCCAGCGCAGCACCGTGGCGCCCGCTCACGCTCCTGAGCCTCGGCGTCCTCGACTCTAAAACAGGGACAACGACAGTGCCGCCCGCATAGGGACTTTGTGAGGCTTAAATGAAGCATAACTCAGAAGTGCCCTCGCTGGCTTCTTTCTCTTCCTGTTAATCAGGGCCCCTCCAAGGAGGCTGGCTGGCCCCTGGAAATGGTCAGAAAGGGAATCCTCAGCCGGAAGCTGATAGGAAATATTTTCACACTTTTTCCTGGAAAAAGAGACCGATGAGGCACGTTGAGGTCTCCCTCTGGTAGGAGAATGGCAGCTGAGAGAGGGCAGGGCGACCCCTGGGTCCCGGACCCCTGTCTTGGCAGGTTTGGGTCTGGAATTTTGGTTCAAAAGGACGTAGCATCTTGGGATAAAGCTGGAAGCAAACGAGCTCGTTTGGAAAACCGAGTGCAAGGTGCGTTTGCTGCTTGATAGAGATCCGCATCCTGGAGCGTGGTGGTAACGAGCAGCGCGCCTACTCCTTAGCGTGTTCGTCCGTGGGCCTTGGCCTGAGCCCAAGCGCAGCTGTAAGCAGGAGCGCTCGTTTCACCACCGGGAGGGAGGCATGTGTCCGTTCCAGCAGTTGGCACAGAGGCGCCCCAAGCGGGGCACCTTCAGCATCTGTGGGGACACAGTGAGCAGAACAGTGAAGGCCCCTGAGCAAAATACCACCTTGATTAATCTGACAGGGGAGTACATGTACTTTTCAAACTTGGTTTTCTAAATTATTTTAACGCCCATCGATCATCTTTGAGCATAATAGCGTTGCTTCCCTAAAATTAGAAGTGCTTTTATTTCTGGGCCCCCTTGTGGAGCAGGGAGCTGGAGCCCATTAATCGGGAACCCCTTATGCGGAGTCCAACCAAAAGCGCTTTTCTGTCCCCGCTCCAGGTGTGGTTCCAGAACAGGCGCGCCAAGTCCCGGCGTCAGAGCGGGAAACCCCTTCAGCCCTGCGCCAGGCCCGAGCTCCTCCTGCACCACCCGGCCCGCGGGACGGAGGCCAGGTGGCCGAAGCCCCAGCTGCCCCTCGAGGGAGATGTGAACTGCCCGCCCCATTCCAGCCAGGTCGGAGCGGGCGCCTCTGACCCTGGCGCCCAGGGTCAGAGTTGTGAAACCTGCTCTCTCCCTGAAGACATTGGTTCAAAGCTGGACTCCTGGGAGGAACACATCTTCGCCGCCTTTGGTAACTCCTGAGGATTGCAGAGTTCAGGATAAGCTCCGAGGAGCCATGGCTGACAGCCAGGGAGCCGCAGCGGACTACTGTCCTTCCCGGCTCCTATGTTAGGGACACATCCATGTGAGTCTTGGTGATGGCTTTGACAGTCATCTGTCGCCTGTGGAGGCTCCTCCCTTGGCCTAGGCTCATTTTTTTCCCCTCTGTGGCACACGCCCCCTAGGAGTTCTGGCTGTTTTCCCTGCATCTCCAAACCTGCAAGCTCATTTCGCTCTCTGTCCCCACTCCTTCTGGCCAGCGCTGTTCTCATTTTTGGGCTGGTTTTTAAAAAACTCCTTATCTTCTTAACAGGAGTGCCTCAGCCTGACTCAGTTCCTCCTGGGCTTGACTGCTGCCATCTTCTCATGCCTCCTGAAAGGTGTATAACATTACACTCTAATCCAGGGGTGTCCAACCTTTTGGGGTCCATGCACCACTCTGGAAGAAGAGTTGTCTGGGGCCACACCTTAAATACGTTGTGACAAGTAAGCACACAAAAAAATCTTATAATGTTTTAAGTAAATTTATGATCCTGTGTCGGGCTACATGCACAGCCGTCCGGGGCTGTGTGCAGCCCACGGGCCGCAGGCTGGACATGCCCGCAGTCTAATCGTGTCCATCAGTCATCAGCCTATCGCCAAGATTTACTACTTTTTTATTGGGCCTGTCATCTTTATACTCAGTTGTAGCTTCAGTGATTCTGTGTCCAGATCATTTCAAGAATTCCCTGCATCTAGGTTCTCAGCTTCCAAAAACTTACTCTATTGAGATCAGATAGGTAAATTGCAAAAGAGGAGTCAATTTTTGGACTGCTGAATTAAAGTACAAAGTTTTGTGTGTGGTTTTTAAAATGGTTAAGACAAAAAGTGTCAAATACTTTAGACTTTAACAAATGACTGATTTTTAAAAACTCGACATAGTTTTTTAGGAAGTAAAGCTAAAAATGGGTTAGAAAAAAGCAAATTAATGTAAAAGGGATAATAAAGACTCTAACATCTTCAGGACCAAATTAAAATAACTGGAAAAAAAAAAAGTTCATTGACTTCTTTAAGTTGCATAGCCAAAAGGTAATAAAATCGTATGTATAAAAAAATATATATTACTGTCTTTGGAAATCTGTAGTGGTCTCCAATTGCTATCAAATTATAAAAACCTTCAGTAACCCCCCAGGTAGCTGACAGCTATAACCTACAGAGCAGTTACGCAGACCTTAAGGCGACCCACCCACAAGTTATGCCGCTGTTTCAAAGCCTCTCCTTCCAGTTTTTGGAACCAAACAATACCTCTTTCAAAAACACTGGAGACCCCCTTCATTCTGAAGTCTGAAACTTTCACCGGTTGTAGTTTTGTACCTGTTACTTCAGTCACCCCAAATTAATGATCCTTAGCACTTGTTACTGTACTATCTAACTTTACTGGATTATTAAATGCTTCCCACACATGTTTCATTGTAATTCTATTTAAATAGCTTCTGTCCTTTGGACAGTGTGTGGTTCCAGAGTTGTTCAGTGTCATACGTTATGTGGCCATGAAACAAATTTCTAAAAGAAAAACATCTCTTATATCAGCAGGCCACTGTGCTGAGAAATTTAACTTGGTTAAAAACATACCTTTGGCTTGTTCAAAATTTAGTCTCATGAGTCTTTTGGTTTCAGGAGATCTCTCTATCCCAATTTATACATTAGGAAGGTAGGTAAGTTACTATTTCTAAGTTAGCCTGGGATAGATTATTGTTTTGCTATTTTGAGGGTTTTCCAACTCCGAAGGCCAAAGGAAGCCATATGAGGTGACCTTGGTCACTGTGCTTTGGGGAAGGCTAATGAAAAGCTATCGTTAGGGCCATGACTCATGTTTGGTGGTTCCTAGAAGAGTGTGATCCCTGTCGAATGTCTAGATTATACACTCCAATTGCCCTCGTATTCATAGAGGTGCGATTCGAATGGCTTGCAGTTTCCAGAGTAGGAAATGCACTGTTAAAAGCAACAAGGACAGAGTTCAGGCTTTAGCAGTAGACTTGACTTTGGAACCTTGAAAACTGAAACCACAAATGCGATGATAAACATGAGTGATAAAATATTCTAAGTGTTGGCTACGAGCCAAACATCTAGCTCAGGGCCGAGTGTGGGGGAGCCGGGTCTCACAGAGCTTCCTTTGCATTTGGACTCGTGTCATGGCCAAATAAGATATATTCCCTGAAAGACACAACTCTTTAGAGTCCACGAAGGATCACATTTAAAAGAAAATCTTGTAATAGCTTATTAGTTGTATTATTGCATTTATAGTGTTATGTTGTTTTCGCCAGGGAACAATTTAAAAAATTTCGTGACATGGATCTTCTAAGAACAGTAGTCAGTCTATACTTCTTTCAAACCCTGAAGAGACCCTACCTGCTAAATGCGTTACAGCTATGATCTGTATAGTCCTCACAACTGACAAATAAGGCAGGGCTATTATTTAAAGATCAAAAGCCTTAAATTAAGGAGTGCTTCACAACCATGCAGCTAAGGAAAATGACAGCCGGGACTCAAACCTGAGACTCAATAACGCCACCATTTGCTCACCACATCATGCCTCCCACACGGGCCTGGCCTTAAGAAATCCAGACTAGTGATAACATCATAGGTTTAAAGGCACCCCCCAATCAGAATTTCTACCTCCCACCGATTCCTGTCTCCCGTCTTTCAAAGCAATCATCATGACAGGACACACTTTTATTCCGGTGCCACTAATGTCAGAGCTCGTTTGAAACCCTCTTTTGTCCATTCCTTCCATAAATATTTGGTGCCTATGAACGGATGTTTTATACCAGGGCTTGGAAATAAAATAAGAAAACCGGAAACAGTCTATCCCCTCATTGAGCAAAGAAGGCAGTCGGGACACAAAGGAAATATAAAAGTTGCAAATGTGGCACATGCCGGCGGGGATGCGGGGTCCTCAAGGGAAGCTTCTGCGGAGGTGAGGCGGAGGGCAAGCCCTGCGGGCTGGAGCCGAGTTCCCACCGCAGTGGAGGAGAGGGGAGCGCGCCCGGGCCCAGGCCCTGGCCCAGGCCCTGGCCCTGCGGCAGGAGGAGCCGGCGGAGGACTTGGGAGGGGAGGCCAGGCCGTCCAGGCCTTTCAGGTCGTGTGAAAGTCCTGCATTTGTCCTGAGAGCCCCCAGACTTTAGATGGGGATGACATGGCCGATTCTGCGTTTTAAGAATATCACTTAGTGATGGAGGCTGCATTCGAGGGGGTGGGGGGCGGAGTGAGTCCTGGGAGCGGATAAATTAGGCGACTGCTGTGTGCCAGGCTGGTGACAGCGGCAGCTGGGCGGATAGTTGCGTTGACAGCGAAGGTGGAGAAAGGTGCATGGATTCAAGGGAAAATACGGACCAGGCAAATGTTGGTAGATTCTCAATGGTAGCAAGCCAATCGGGCATCTGAGCTAATTTCAAGTAATTTGGAACCAAACCTGCCTAACACATGATGTACTTGCTTGTTTGCTTAATCTGGCTTTGGGAGCTTTCTTTAGAGCTGCAGAAAGGGGTTAAGCAGAGGCAGTATCATTCAAATTCAGGTACAGATGACCCAAAATGGCTGCTTTCTATTGCGCTGACTTCCTCCCCACTCAGAAACAGAATTGGAATACACCCTTGGGCACAGCGCCTGCTGCCAAGACCAGGTGGCACTGAGAGACCTTGATGGCTCTTAAATACATGCACAGTGAGGTGTGGGTTAAGTGTGGCAGGTACGCCTTAAGAAATGTACAATGTAAAAAATGTAAGAAATGTAAAAATGTAAAAAAGAAAAAAAGGTAAAACATACTCACCTAATAATGGACCTTTCACTAGGTCTATAGTAAGCCAAGTAACTTACTTGCTCAGTGTTTTCCACAGTGACTTATTCAGGGATGAAAAAAACTCCTAAAAATATTATTGGATGGTATTGTAATTCTGAGCAAGCTGGTAATTAATCTGTACTGTTTCCCCTAAAAATAAAATTTAGTAGAAATTACAATTCTTTAAAACTTCGTAACTAGAAGGAATACTTATCAACTTACACTAATTAAATAAAAATGTAGACGATATTAATTTTCATAGATCAATTTATTTAGAATTACAAATATTAAGAATAAAAGATTTATGCTTTTCTTAATTAACATAACAGTTGAGCTAAATATAAACTCTGCACTAAAGTTCTGCAGTGGCACAGAATATGGAAGCGTTTTTAAACTATACAAAAATTTCCAATGGAAAATAATCTTGTTTCAGTTTTATTATACATTAACATATAAAAAGTCTCATTTTATGAGACATCTAAAAGAATTAAAGCCACTTCTACAGCTCTATCTTAAACTCCAAGTCTTAAAACAATTTATTATATTTTGACTTTATAATATTCTATATTAAAACAAAGAGAATTCCAAATACACACTTTTTACAAGATTAACATTTTAGGCAGGGTTTTCCTTAAAAAATAAAACAAAAACCAACCAAATACAAACCTTTTTTCTGTATTTCACAACACTGGTTATTATATGTTTTCCTTATAAAATTTTTTACTTTATAAATGGTATACTGTTGGATTTTAACCAGCAATCTGGTTCAAAAGTTGTGCAAATAAACAAAAAATATGAAAATAGTGTGTTATCAGTCTTTTCTTTTTTAATAAATCTCATAACAATAGCACTTTTTGCCCTGAATTGACAGGAAAAGACATGCCAAATCCACTTGCTGAAATATAGCATTTTGCAAGTAATGTTTTTTTCCTGCTCCTTCATTTTCTTTCAACAGACAAACAACAAAAGTTTCTTTTATAAATTATGATAAATTAAAATATTTATTATTATAAAATGATCTACAGAACCATGTCACATTGCAAGTATATACCATATATGCTTGTACAGTCCATATTTCCCATCTATGTTCCAGTGCCTTCCTTCACACTAGGACTTCCCAGATCTCATGATGTTCTTTTGAAGACTGAGGTGGTGATCAACTAAG